ACGACATTATGCTTTGCAATGTAGTGAAGTAAAAGTTTTCCAACAAAAAACAAAACAAAATAGACTTTTTAAATTTACTCGAGTAAAGTAAAAATACTGCACTACTGTCCACCTCTGGTATGCGATTACAGTATATGCTGATATATAATGCATTTTTTTTTTTTTTTCATGGTATAATGTTTCCTTAGGTGCACTTACAAATAAAAGGCAATTCCAAGCTCTCTGATTTGAAGACTTCAGTTCAGTGAAAACGCTCACTGCCATGATTGGGCAACATCTTTGCATAAGAAATAAGTTTTACCCGTGGATAGGCTTGGGCCGGTATGAGATTTTGACAGTATGATAACCTTAAGCAAAAATATCATGGCATCACGGTATTGTTTTTACGGCTCTAAAATGTGTTATTTTTAAATGACTGGGTAAAAAAAAAAAACTTTTTTTCAGCTGAACACAATATATTTTGTTTTTGAGCAACCTACAGAATATTAAGAACAGTAGAATTTGTTTATTTTTTCTTTGATTTGTTTCCTAAAAAGAAGAAAAATAAAGACTGCCATCTTTATTTAACCTAAATCTGTAAACAGTTATTTAATTTTAGTTATATAATTCATATACATATCATTTATCTAATTTCATATCATTTAGTTATATAATTACATATACATAATTTGATTTAATAATAACCCAATTTGAAGCAAAAACAGAATGTTCTGACTAGCTTTGTGAAATTATACTACATGCCTGAACGAAGCAAACAGCAGAAGCTCTGAATGAGACGCAGATTCTCTCTCTGACAGCAGGAGGCGCTCATGGAACAACAGATACAGCGTTTCCTTGGTTACCGCCGTAAACAAAGCAGCTGCGCTGAAACACTGCTTTAATATGAACTATACAGAGACGAGATTAAAAGAAAATACCACGTAAACTTTTCTGAAGACAGTCAATTTCCCCTCAGAAACACATTCATATAAACCCCCAAATCAATATTGAGGATTTTCTTCCAATAGTTCATGCATCATGAACAGTGAGTGATCTGCCCGCTACAGTATTTTTCTCTGTGCGTCCGTCTTCAACATCTCTGGCCTGTGTTAACGGGCGTTTACAGACTTCATATTTTCACAATACATATCATTTATATCATTTAGTTATATGATTTCATATACATAATTTTATTTAATAATAACCACATTTGAAGCAAAAACAGAATGTTCTGACTAGCTTTGTGAAATTATACTACATGCCTGAACGAAGCAAACAGCAGAAGCTCTGAATGAGACGCAGATTCACTCTCTGACAGCAGGAGGCGCTCCTGGAACAGCAGATACAGTGTTTCCTTGGTTACCGCCTTAAACAAAGCAGCACTGCGCTGAAACACTGCTTTAATATGAACTATACAGAGAGAGATGAAAAGAAAATACCACGTAAACTATTCTGAAGACAGTCAGTTCCCCTCAGAAACACATTCATATAAACCCCCAAATCAATATTGAGGATTTTATTCCAATAGTTCATGCATCATGAACAGTGAGTGATCTGCCCGCTACAGTATTTTTCTCTGTGCGTCCGTCTTCAGCGTCTCTGGCCTGTGTTAACAGGCGTTTACAGACTTCATATTTTCACATAAATGAGATTTTGGAAAACGATTGCATTGCAACGCAGTTTGTGCAAGTCCAGAACAGAGACGAGTTGCTTGCAATAAGACAAAAAACGGCCGGTTGCCGGTCGCATGAGTTCCAGGGACAGTGCCTTAAGTTCGCCATCCTACACACACGTGACTGACCGCTCGCTCGCACCAACAGCAGGAGGAGGGTCCCTTGAAACCGGTAATCGGCCCATGCCTACCCGTGGAACTCTTTACTGTTATTACTGTTAGAGCAGAGCAGCAGACATTAAATATGTGATGATTATAACATTATATTTAGACCTACTGCCATTGCCTAAAGGGTTGCATTGATTGAGCAGTGTACTGATTATAACGGGAGTTTTGGTGAAAGTGCAGAACTCAGATCACTCACGCGGAACTTGAGAATGATTGACAGCTCAACTGATTATAAAGGGAGCGTTCTCTGATTGCATTCTGCGTATAATTTGATCGCTATTAAACCCTCTGCTGCTCTTTGGTCACTTTTGACTGAATTTGTGACTTTTTTTTTTTTTTTTAAACATTAACTTAAATTTGTAATGTAATTTTGGTAATTTTAGTTCATATGTCTGTGTTAACAGATTTTTTCTTCCAAAAATTAAGTTGTTTGGACTTAATGAAATTGACTACTTAATGACTGCATTAATGCCGGTGACAAGTAATATCTTAATTGTTCAGAAATACATGAGATTAATTGGTTCCATGGCCATAACTCAGTTGGATTTAATTGATGGAATTTGCTGTACATTAGGGATGTAACGGTATGAAAATTTCTTATCACGATTATAGTGACCAAAATTATCACGGTTATCAGTATTATCACGCTATTGTTAAAATGTGCTGGATATGTTAAAAAAAGTACCGACACATAAATCACTTCACCAAGTTTTAGATTTAAAAATCAACAAACAACAAATAAAATGACTTTTTGTTTGCATAATCACTAAAACAATAACATTACTAATGATGTCCGGATTTTAAATGACAACTTGACTGACAACAGTTTAATAGCATGTTGAAATATCTAATCTAAATGTTCAAATAAAGCTTTGAAAAAGTTTCATAAAAAGGTAGACCTCACATTTCAGCCTTTAAATAAAGAAAAGATATAAGTCAAAATGATAATTGATTAATAAATGATTATATGTATTTTATCTGCTCCATAAATAATTATAGATAACTTATCTGAATTGTTTAAATGTGTAGAATCCACATAAGCTTGTTTTTCATCAACCAGTCAAAATTTACAGAAACTAGGGTGTATTCAAAGCGCCGCCATTACTGTCTAGAGTGCGTGGAATGGTGCGCTGTGATTGGTTGTTACTGTTTACAGTGCGTGGAATGGTGCGCTGTGATTGGTTGAGCGGATATATCGCATTCTGCAGAGAAGGGCGACTGGCGTTTGTCGCGGTTTGGAAAAAAAAAAGGAGAAAACATGACAGAATAACTCAGCGGATATCGCATTTTGCGTAAAATTACAAATTTACTTTTCAGTACCGACCAGATACAATACTGATTTTGACGGAAACTACATTTTTTTTTAAATGGCGTTTATCGCGTTTTCGAACCAAACTCTTCATATATTAGGGCTGTCATCGTTAATGCATGCGATTAATTTTACAATCCTTAACGCGTTAAAATAATGTAACGCAATTAACGCAAAATTACTGAAGCACAATTTCTATTCTAACCCTTTAACCCAATTTTGCTACTCTGCTTGCGATTAGATAATCGCGGTAATCTAATACGGTTTTAATGATAATTAAAAGATGAAGCGGTAATACTAACTGTGGGGAATTTTATCATGATTTATCGTCAAACCGGTAATCGTTACATCCCTACTGTACATCAGTCTTGCATGTCATAAAAACCACCTGCTATCACAGATTAGGCATTAGAATTAACATGGCAAATTTTTACATATTGCTTTATTAATTTCTGTAAAAGTCTTGTTTGCAAAGCTAGTGTCAGATTGCGACTGGTTTACTGAAGAATCCAGAGAAACGAACCGAACAAACAGACTTTAGTTTCTACTGAGACTTTCACATAGCTGAAAATAAACAGCCACTTTCCTAACATTAGGATCCTGTACAGATTTTGAACAAATACGTTTCTATCTACTTTTATGGCACACATCATATTAAATATCATATTCACAAAGCATTACACAGTTCTAATTTCCAGGGGAATCAGTATGTTTTGGGATCTTGAGCAGTCACTCAGGAGCTTGAGCAGAACAGTGAATTTATAATAAATAGTGGTAAACTAAATGTGCTGTTATGAGGTGAGCAAGGTGGAATAGAGATGCACTGTAAAACAAATATTATTGATTCCCATTAAACAGGCTTTTCATTAGCCGTGAAGGTCTGGTACCAGATATATATCAGATGGAGCCAGCTGAAGTTTATGAATCTTTTAGAAGAGGTTTTTATATATAATGCAGTTTTGGAAACATTAAAGTAACACTACCACTCAAAAGTTTGGGGTCAGTAAGACTTGTAATGTTTTTTAAAGAAGTGTCTTCTGCTCATCATGCATTTATTTGATCAAAAATACAGAAAAAAAACAGTAATCTTGCAAAATGTTATTACAATATAAAATAATGGTTTCTATTTTAATATCCTTTAAAATATAATTTATTTCTGTGATGCAAAGCTGAATTTATTT